GGCCAGAGCCACCCAGCTCACAGGAAGCTCTCCAGGAGGACAGTGTGGGGCAGGAGGGCTCCATGTGTTTTTAACCAGGGAGCACCCAGGAAGCTGGTGGGTGGGGAACAGAGGAAGGGCCCCAGGTCCTCACCTCAGGATTGTCGAATGACAAGGAGCTTCTGTTTGAGTCCCTAAGTTCCCAGGTAACCATCATGGTCCCATTCTTCTACCCACAGAGCAGCTGGGTCCCTCCTACCTGGCCCTGTGGAAAGGCCCTTCAGGTGCACCAAGGCCTGTTCCCACGTGGACATGGGACCCATCATCCCAGCCAGCCTGAGGTGCCCGGAGACCTCTGATCGGTCCCAGATGAATTTGGCTCTGGGGCCCTCAGCCAGGAGCTGCAGGACCCCTGGATGACCTAAGTGCTGCACGTGGCCTCAGGAGCGCAGGGCTCAGATGCACCTCCACCTGGACAGCCCTCGCCCCGCTCAGGTGCACACCATGCCAGGAGCAGGTGCCCATGGCCAGCTCACCCTCCCTGCTGGCCTGCCCCCAACACACACACACACACACACACGCACACACACACACACACGCCTCCCTGTCACTCCAGCCTCAAGAACAACCTCCCCCAGGCGCCTCCCCCAGCCCATCCTATACTCCAGGCCCATGCAGCTGCCCCTCCACCTCTGAGACTGGCCCCTGGGCTCTTTGAACCCGCGGACACACCGAACACCTTAGTCCTTGCTCAGGAGACCCCACGAGTTGAGCTTGCTGGGCTCTGGCCCTGTGGGTCCAGGGGTCCAGCCAGCGGCCGGGGCCTGTGCTCAGCAAGTGCGGGGCACAGAGAAGCTGTGTGGATCTGAGTGGACACTGCCAAGAGGCCTAGGGGCTTGTGAGACAGACAAGGTGGAAGGTGGTAGAGGGCAGGGCTATGGCCTCCCTCTCTTGCCTATGTCCTCTCTAGCCATTCTCAGACCCTGTGCTCACCACTGCCCCTGTCATTGTGAAGGACGACACTCAGGATCCCCTGAGGTTCAGAGAGGGTCTGTGGTTTGGCCAAGGCCTCACAGCATGTGAGCAGAGACCAGGCCATTATCCCTCTGCCAGGGGTGGGGTGGTTATGGTCCTGGTGTGAGCATGAGGAGACAGGACAGACTCAGGACACTGCAGAGACATGGACCCTGTGCAGGGTGCATCTTGGACGGGGCAGAATTACCTTGTCTGTCAATACATCTGTGGACCTAGACCCCAGAAGAACAGAGAATGTCAGAGGCCAGCCGAAACAAGACACGTGCCCAAGCCAGTGGCACCCTCTTTGGCAATCACCAGCTAGAAATGAAGCTGATATGTCCCATAATAATAGCCACAAAGCCCACAGAAACCAGGGTGCCAACAAGAAAGCAAGCCAGAGGCAGAGAGCCCACACTCGGGCATGGAGTATCACGTGGAGGCCCTGGGTCCCTCCCAGCAATGGAGAAAATGGAGTGTCCAGTCACCTGTTGGTTAAAGAGAAAACTAACAAAAAAGATAGGCCACAGCTCGGCAATAGAGAAATTATTCTGCAAAAAAATTGATCTCCCCAAATTAATATAAGAAGCCACTGCAGTCACAGCACAGTCCCAGCCATTCTGGTTTGTTCTTCAAGTGCCCAAGGCCCAATGGCATCGCGTGGCACAGGGGACAGCAGGCCGCTGTCAGCCCCACCAGGACCTGGGGCCGGCCTTTGGCATGGTTGGTGTCCTGGTGTGGACCACGTGGAGGGCCCACTCTCAGGCGCACAGTTAGGAAAGCCCCCACTTTCAAACAAAAAGCAAACCGGCATTTTCCCTGCTGTTGTTGAAGAGTGCCTAGGTCGGGCAGCATCGGGGCCTGAGTCTGCACCACAGGGCCACTGTGGCTGGACTGGACAGGGGTGCAGAGGGGCTGGTGGGGCCTCTGGGACCCTGGAGCGGCGTGGCTGCTGCTGCTTCCTCCAGGAGCAGTGGCCTCAGTGGGCAGGGCCCTGCCGGACTGACAGGTGCCCCGAGTCCTGAGCACAGCAGAGGGTGCCCATGGGCAGAGCCGGAAATAATGGCTCCTTGCTGCCGCAGGCTCACATCTACTCTCTGGGGGCCACACTGAAGGCTGCCCTGGAGTACGTGGCGGAGTCCGAGCTGGAACCCAGGCTGAGCCCAGACCTGGAGGCGCTGCTGAGCCAGATGCAGGCAGAGGACCCCAGGGACCGGCCTGACCTGGAGGTAAGTCCGCAGCGTCTGCCTGCCGATGCCCACAGCTGATCCCTGCCCAGCCCGCCACACGTCTAATGCTGCACACCCAGCACACACACACACACACACACACACACACACACACACAGACCCCAGAAGCCTCTTCAGGGTCCCTCATCCATAATTAGATGGCTCTGCATTGTGCTAAAAGAAGGGCCCGACTCTTAGTGTGCATGTTTGCAGTGAAGGGTTTGCCTTACAGTTACCGTGGGAAAACAGAATCCCCTTCTCTGCCACCCAGGACACCTTGCCTTTTTACACGAAAGGTGCATGTGGTGGGCAAGTGGGCAGCTGGGAACGGGCCACCTTGGAGCTTTGTCTCAGGAGGGCAGCCTCTCCGCTGAGAGACCAGCCTCACTGGGCGGCACGCGCATGTCCACAGAGCATCATAGCACTGTGCGAGGAGAAGGTGCCACCCGGGTCCTCCTGCCGCCTATGCCGGAGCCTCTCAGCCGTCGGGAGGAGGGTGCTCTCCATTGAGTCCTTTGGAGCGTTCCAGGGTAAGCACACGCCTCCACACACGTACCTGCCTGCACACATGCACACACATGCACATGTAGGCATGCAGTGTGCATCGAATGTGCACACACATTAAGATGCAGGCACACTCACACTTGCTCATACCAACACCCCTACCAACACCCACCACATCACATTGTCACATGCATGTGTGCTCAAGGAGAGCTGTGTGCACCCCACAAACACAGCCACGCTCACATGCGTGCAGATCCACAAGTCTATTCACACTCTACACAAGCGTGCAAATGCATCTGCATGTCTGCATCATGTGCCACGTGTGCCACACTGGCCTGTGCACACTCATCCAGTGACCTGAGCAAGACTTGCAGGGAGAGCTGAGCACTGGGCTCACACTCAGAAGCCACCGAAGCTGGTACTGTCAACCTCTGCCTGTCCCAAACTGCCCTGCAGAAGGGAAGCCTTGGGTCCCACACGCCCCACGCCCACACCACAGGGTCTGCAGACACCTGCTGCTGTGTCTGGGGAGCCTCAGGGACTTGAGAAAGGGGTGTGCAGGGCCCGGTGGCTGGGGGTCCTCCCTGCTGAGAGTGGCCACCGGCCTTGCTCCCACAGCAGGGAGGGTGGGTTCTGAGGTGCAGAACCGCCACGGGAGGGGTGCCACTGAAGTAGGCCGCGGAGTCCCACAGGGCCAGATGCATGGAGGACTGCCCCGGGTTATGTCCTGTCCTGGTCAGGGTGACTATGCACTCGTCATGGAACAAGGAGGAGCTGGGGACGGGAGGCTTGGACAGGCTGGGCCAGCCAGGGACGCTCTGCTTGGCAGGGCCAGGGAGGCCCTGGGTGACCCCGGGAGGCCTCTGGGCTCTGCCCTGAGGGGGGGGGGTCGGGGGCACAGGACGGGAGTCCCCACCTGTGAGACCTGTGTGGGGGCGCGGTCGCCGTGGTGGCCACCGGCAGTCACAGCCGCTCCGTGGTGACCACCTCCTGCAGACGTCGGGGAGAACACTTGGAAGGGAAGACCTGCCTCCAGAAGCTCGGGCCCCAGGAGGCCTCCTGGGGACTTGAGCACTGGCCCAGAGGCCCTGCCCACGCCGGAGAGCCCGCCCCAGCCCAGCACACATGAAGACCCAGAGCAGGAGGCCAGCCGGGGCCCCAGACCCCCACCCACCAGGCCACTGCTGTCAGCCCCCAGGAAGAATGGAGAGAGCCCTGGCCGGGAAGGACTGGCCAGCCTCGTCCTGGACAGCCAATGGCCCCTCCACGAGCTGGACAAAGGACTCCTCAGGCGGAGCCTGAGGAAAGTGCAGACGTTCCCCAGGCTGCTGCCGAAGGGCCCCGAGGCCAGTGCCCTCTGCTTCTCACTGAGCAGCCCCAGGAACCCTCTGAGCGTCTCTGAACTCTTCCCCCCGGACCCCAAGGTCTTTCTGGAAGGGAAAAATGGCCTCCCCAGCTTCAAGGCACAGCCCCAGAGCAGACTGTGGCCCGAGCAGGACCCCGGGCTGCAGCTGGAAGGCGCACCGGGTGCAGGCCTCACAGTGGACAGGGGGCTAGGGGCCTCGGGGCAACCAGAGACCCCACTCCCTGGCCAGGAACCTGCGGAGGAAGGCCCCCGAGCCTGTCCCATAGTGCCCGGAGATGCAGGCCGCGAAGCCCAGACTCCAGGGGACGACGAGGGGACTCCAGGAGGCGCCGGGCAGCCGGAAAAGGCAGCCACAGAGCAGGTGGGTGGGCCAGGTGGGGTGGGTGGGGACGGCTCGGGCCTGGAGCTGCCTGTTTTTGAAGGAAGCTGTGAACGTGCTGGGGTGGGGGCTGCCAGGCTCTATCACCCTGGGTGCCGCCTCAAGCCAGAGCCCCTCCCAGGGTCTTTGGAGGTGGGTGTTCATCCCTGAGTGGCCAGGAAGCAGCCTCCAGCCCCGCCAGACCCACGTACCCACCGATCAGCACATCCTGGGGCTGGATTCTTGCAAAAGACTGAGGCTGGCAGCTGGGGGTTGGGGGCTGTTTCCCCAGTTCTCATCTCAGGGCCTTCCCTGTCCTGCTCTTATGATTGCTTTAAAGGTTAGAAACCAAAACTGGGCTGAGATTGCTCGCCGTCCATCCTGGCGCCAGAAGGTGCTGGCAAGAGCTGAGCCTGATCAGCATTCTGGTCAATTCCAGGATTCTGCATCACACCAAGATGGGGCCTGCCAGGCTGGGGCCTCAGACAGGACAGTGTACCCCAGCCAGAGGGGTTCCCCCAAGAAGGACAGGGTCCTCAGGCAAGACAGGTCCCCTGGCATGGACCCCTCCTTGTGAGGGACAGAGGGTTCTGCTTGGAACCAACCATTTGGGAGATTTGTGTAGTTTTCAGCATTGCCAGAGACCATCAGAGTAGCCTACGTTTTTGGCCCTTCTATTCAGTCAGGGACACCTGAGCTAGTTGGAACTAGCAAGTATATCATTAATTTTTCATATTTGTCAGTTTCTTGTTACTATAACAAAATACCTGAAACAGGCCACTTGATTTAAAAAAAAAAAAAAGGTTTAACTTGGCCTAACACCTGTAATTCCAGCAACTCAGGAGACTGAAACAGGAGGATCACAAATTCAAGGCTGACCTGAGAAACTAAGAAAGACCCTGTCTCAACATAAGTTTGAAATAAAGCAGGGATGAGGGAGGGGCACTGTGGATGTAGCCCAAAGCCTGCCTAGCATGCTGGGGGCCCTGTATTCAATCCCCAGTGCACAAAAGGAAGAAGAAGAAGAAAAGGGGCTTATTTAGCTCACTGCTCTGGAGGCTCAGGTTGAGAGCCACATCTGATGGAGGCTTCTTGCTCACAGGGCATCACATGGAGAGGCAGGGAGGGTGTGTCTCTGGTCTCTCTTCCCCTCTGAAGCCACAGGGATTGTGACAGTGTCTCTGCACCTCCCCAGCCCTCTGCCAGACACAGGGCGGACTCCATCCCACCCTCTCACACCTGGCGGTGGGGACAAAATGCCTGCCCCTGGGGGTCTCAGACCCACAGCTCAGCACAGAGCTCCTGCTGGCTGCTCAGCCTCCTGAGGTCCATGTCCCCAGGCCTGGCGCCCCTCAGGGCGAGAACCCCTGAGCCAGGGCACAAACAGGCCCGTCCACTGGGCAGCACCCAGGCTCGAGGACAAGGTGACGGCCACAGCCCCTTTTCCACCAGGCTCTGTGGCCCAAGGGAGCAGGGGTGGGCAACTGTGGTCACATGGTCCTTCCTGTCCCCACGGCGGGGAAGGACAGCCCAGGGGAGCACGCAGCCATGGCACGGAGCCTGCCTGCTGGGGCCTGGCGCCACCCAGGCTCAGCCAGCTCCCACGGTGGCCCCCGCGGCCCCAGCACCTCCCGGGGCAGGACACCCCACAGACAGGGCCTCGTCATGCCCACCTTCCAGACCGCGTCACGGCCGGTGGCAGAGCGGCCCGTCAGAGGGCAGCATGTGGAGTGGCTGGGCCGAGGTCTCCGGCCGGGCACAGGGTAGCACTGACCAGCGAGTGCAGCTCCTGCCGAGCCATCAGACAGAGCTGGGCCCAGGGTCAGGCCCCCTGGCCCCCAGGGTGGGGGGCGGCCTCTCAGTCAGGCCTCCCCAGTTCCAGCCCCAGCAAGCAGGCCACGGGTCAAGAGAGGCCCACACGGCCGTGGGCAGGGAGGAGCCGAGGCACTGAGGCCACATGTGGCTCAGCCCTCAGGGGTACCAGGGGCTGGGCACAGGGTCCCCAGACTTCCGACACCCAGGCGGGCGGTGCCGGCCCAGCTCACACGTGGAGGAAGCACCGGAATGCAGGAGCTCCTGTGTGAAACACTCGGGCCTGAAGACCTGCCTGGGCCAGCCAACAGCCCAGACCACTGCACAGCACAGCCACCTGCCACCCGCCCCGCGCCCAGCCCTACCACTCACCCCCCACCACCAGCCACCTGCCCGCCAGTCCATCTGGGCTCTGAGCAGGGCCCCAGCCAGTGCCTGTGCAGGAGGCACGGAGTCCATCCTCCAGGTCCACATGTCGCCACCACGTCCTCTCCCCCGCCCACGGACAGTGCAGGGACCGTCACATGGACGTGCCCACTGCACCCTGCCCCACCCAGCGTCCAGGTGTGCCCAGAGGCAGCATCGGGATCGCCCGGCGGCCCCTGGCCACTCCGGCTCTCTCGCGGGCGCTGTGCGTGGGGTGGAGGCGGCCTCACAGGACAACTCTGCCCCCACAGAGCAAGACCCTGTCCCTGCAAGACCTCCTGAGCCAGCTGGGCCGGCCCTTCCGGGAGTATGAGCTGTGGGCCCTGTGCCTCGCCTGCCTCCGAGCCCTGCAGACCCACAGCCAGCACCCAGGTGACCTGGGGCCCGGGACAGCTGAAGAAAGGCTGGGGCGGGAGTGTCCACCCTGTGACCGGGATGCGGAGCAGTGTCCACGCTCTGAGCTGGGGGAATAGTGTCCAAACAGTGACCAGAACAGGGGGCAGTAGAAGTGTCCACTCTATGAGCTGGGGGCAGCAGTATCCATACTGTTATCAAGGACAGAGGATAGTGTCCATGCTGTGACCAGGACTGGGAGCAGTGTCCATGCTGTGAGCTAGGGAAGGGGGCACTGTCCACAGATGAGCTAGGGTGGGGCAGTGTTTTGCACTGCGTGTGGCCTCCCAAGCTGGACCCTGCTGGACCCTAGGAAAGATGGGTGGTCATCTGTGTTCTCAAAGCTCTTGAGGCCGTGACAAGAATGGTGTCTAGACGAGATGGAGGGTTGGGCACGGTGGCCTCTCTTGTCATCCCAGCCACTCGGGAGGCAGAGGCAGGAGGACCCCAAATTCCAGGCTAGCCTGGGCAGCTTAGCCAGACCCTGTCTGTAGAGTAAGAATAGAAGGGCTGGGTGCAGCTCTGGGGCAGACCACTTGCCCAGTGTGTCTGGGGCCTTGAGATCCAGCCTCCCAGGTCAGCCTCCTCGGTCAGTGCACAGCGTGGACCACAGCCCACTCCTCTGGGTCCTGCCCTTTTCATCCCCAGCTTGATGAGGGCACTACAGCAGTGTCTGCCTGAGGCCCTTCTGCCTGGGGGTGGAAGAGGTGGCCCAGGACCTCTGTGGCAGGAAGAGGCTCAGGTAGAGCAGCACCGTCTCCTGACCTGCATTCTGTTGCAGCCTGCCTGTGCCTGGACAACGTGTTGGTGGCCGAGGACGGGGCTGTGCTCTTCGGGCCGCCCCCTGCCAATGGTATGCACACGGGCCAGGGGCCTGGGGCCAGCCCTCGTGGGCACACCCTGAGCTGTGTTCTCTCCTAGGCTCTTACAACTCGCTCTTCCTGGCTCCCGAGGTGGCAGAGGAGAGGCTGGTGACGGAGAAGGTAAGGCCCAGCTCCCCCGGTCACCTTCCCCACCCCGGCAGAGCCCACACCCCTTTCCGGTCCGGTGCCCCCTTCGGTGTCTTGGCTGGCCCGGTAGGCAGCTGGGCAGTGCCCAGCACAGGCCTCCTCCAGGGCTCAGGCAGAGCCAGGGCGGGGTCCTGGGCAAGGCGAGTGTGTGTGCCGGGCTGCCCCTGGCTCTGGAGGGCCGAGGGCAGCGTCAGGGTACTTAACACTTGAAGTACAGTAAGTACAGCAGTCGGCACCGGGTCCTCCACTCGGGAGGTGGAGGGCGCTCCAGAGGCTCCCGGAGCTGGTCACTCCACGCCCGAGTCTGCAGGGAGAGGACAGGCAGCTCCAGGGCTCCCTAAGGGGCAAGGCAGGGCCTCATGTGGACACTTGGAGCCAAAGAGGCCGAGCTGGTCTCCCGCCAGAGGAAGCAGCGGGCGGTCTAGACATGAGCCCCCTCTGCAGCCCACACCACAGAGCGCGTGCCACCACACTGGCCAGCAGAGACCGGAGCAGGCAGTCACCCTCACAGTCAGTGGGGACCACAGCCAGACAAGGCCAGAGGTCAGGCTCCAACAAGATCGGGGTCCCCACTGGAATGAGACGGTGTGGGCCGGGTGACAGACGCCAGGGGTAACCAAGGGACGTGGGAGCAGCCATCCAACAGGGCTTCAGTGAGCAGTTACCAACAGGCTGGAAGAAAGGACAAGATGGAAACAGGAAGTTACAACAATGAAAGAGAAAACAAAGTGCACATTTTTAGAACTAAGTAAAAAAAAACAAAAACCGACTCCGCGGGCTGTCGGGGTGGCTCAGTGGCAGAGCACCTGCCAGCATGCTTGGGGCCTGCACTTGGTCCCAGCAGCCCGCGCACTCGAGATGGATCAGCAGATGGGCCTGGGACGGAAAGGACAAGGGAAAGGACTGGTGCAGCTGAAGACAGAACCACAGACATGACCCAGTGTGAATAAGAAAGAGGAAAGAGACTGAGACCTGCCCAGAGCCTGAGGATTTTGTGGGAACATGACAAAAGACGTAGCAGCCATGTCATCAAAATCCTGGAGAACAGCAGGTGAGGCAGAAAAGGTACTCAAAGAAATCATGGATGAAAACTTCCCAACTATGGCAGAATGCACAGACCTACAGATTCAAGAAGCTAATGATACCCAAACAGAATAGAGTCCAAGGCATCCACACCACCACAGCACAATCAACCCCTGCATGCTGCAGACCAAAAGAGAAAAGAGAAGGAACCGCAACTGCTGTGCAGGGCAGCCAACCAGATGGCACCTGCCACAGGCCCACAGGCTCCAGGCCTGAGTGCAGAGGGCCCCGTGGCCAGCGCAGGCTCTTCAGAAATGGAGGACAGGGCAAGATAGCCTCCGGTGAAGGCAGCTGAGGACTCGTGGCCAGCAGGTCCACTCTGCAAGAATGGCTAATGGAAATCTTTAAGCAGAAAGGAAAATGGAAGGAGGAGGAGGAAGGCAGGAAATGCTAAGAACACGTGTGGCCACCCCGGTCACCCCAGCCACCAGGGGACTGGGGCAGGAGCATTGCCAGTTCAAGGGCAGCCTGGCAACTTTTTTAAAAAAGGTGGGGGATGTAGCTCATGGTAAAGCAGCCCTGGATTCAATCTCCAGAAACTCAAAAAGACAAAAAATACTACGAGTAAAATGGAATCTGATGGAAGAAAAGGGAGAAGACAGGAGTTACCAGCTCCAGAGAGAACAGGGGCATCTCGATGGCCTGCAGACGTGGAAAGCACAGCCTGGGAGGCTGCCCACAGCCCTCACCCACTCCAGAGGCGCAGATAAAGTGCCCAGTTCTGCAACAGCAGACCACCAACACCCAGGATGAAGCAGGTCACTCGAACAGCCCATTAACTATCGAGAACTTCGAGTTTATGGTTTTAAAATTCACCAGAACATATCTCTAGGCCAGATGGTTTCACTAGAAAATGATGCCAAGTGTTTAAGGAATAATTAACACCAGTTCTACACAATTTTTTCAAGAAAGCAGAAGAGCAAAATGTTTCCCAATTCATTTTATGGAGTTAGTATCACCCCGATCCCAAATTAGACAAGAGTACCCCCCCAAAAAAAAATCAGTATCTCTCACGAGAATGAAGGCAAATGCAAATGTCATGCAGCAATATAAACAGCAGTCATACGCCTCGGCAGAGGGGTTCTATTCCAAGGATCCAAGACTGCTTCAATACTTGAAAATCAGTGCAGACAAGCTTACTAACACCACAGAACAAAAACCCACAATCGTAATGGTTGATGCAGAAAAAGCATCAGACAGGGTCTAACGCCCATTCATAAGCTTACAAAAAAGAAGAAAAAACTCTAGAAAACAGAAATGGAAGAAACATCTTCAAGTTGATAAAAAGCATCTACCAAAAAAATAAATAAATAAATGCAATAAGCCATCCGCGGCTAGTGTCATAGTACTCAGTGGCCAAAGACTGGACGTTTCCCCTAGATGGGAACCAGGCACCACCCTGAGCTCTCGGGAAAGCATCTCAGGGGTGGCTGCGGGCCCCTCATCAGACCCAGCGGCTCCTGTGCACAGGGAGCAGGCACCTGTCCCAGGGTCTGCTGCTAACTGCAGGCCTGCACCACTGGGCGGGTGTCCAGAGGCCATGTGGGCAGCTGCCTCCTCACACTGCCCACCGGCTACCTGTGAAGACGGAGGGGGCGTCCCAGTGGAGCTCTTCACACTCCCGTGTTCAAAGCCAGACCCGAAAGGGGGTGTTAGCCATGCAGCCCCCAGGCCATGCCCCGAGGCTCCCCTGGGGGCTGGCTAGGGTGGACCCCCAGGCTCCGGGCTGGTCCTGGGCTCCAAAGGACTATGCCTGAGTGCCCCTTAGGACACCAGGTCTGCCAGGCCTGGCTGGGCCCAGTGGCCCAGCCGCCACCCTCCTCCTCTTTGCGCCCTGCAGGCTTCTGTGTACTGCGTGGCCGCCGTCCTATGGACCGCAGCCAAGTTCAGCATGCCCCGTGAGCAGAAGCTGGCCTTGCCACGCAGACTCAAGACCCTCCTACTGGACATGGCAAGGCGCCACGCCCCTGAGCGGCCATCTGTGGCTGAGGCCATTCAGGTAACCACAAGGGTCAGGCCCTGCTCACAGTCCCGGGACCTGCAGGCCACTGGGCAGGGAAGGGAGTGAGTCTCACTCCTTGGCCAAATCCATGTGGGCAGTCAGAGTGGGGCTGCCCCACAGCCCTGGACCTCTACCTACTGTCCCTCCTGCTCTGCAGGCTACCAGCTGCGGCTGTCCTGTATATGTGCAGGGACTGGTCCTGGCCAGACCCACCAGGCTCTGCAGTGAGACCCTCTCCTAGTCTGGCCCACAGAGGTAGCAGAGCAGGGCAGCCCCTGGCACCTGCCCCCATGTCGGCAGGGAGGCATGGAGCTCCTGCTCGGTTTCTATTCACAGCTGCACACAGGGAGGGCAGACCCCAGAGGTGGAGTCTCACTGCGGTCTTCCTGGCTCTCACCCACCCCCCTGCAGCATCAGGGCACACGGCTGGTGTGGTAGGGCTGAGGCCCGAGCCACCCACTGGCCCGCCCCACCTTCTCCCCGCCCTCAGGTGTGTGGCAGCTACCTCCTCCAGCGAGGCATGGACAGCAGCAAGATCCTCGCCCACCTGCGGGTGTCCACCTGCAAGGTGAGACAGCGCTCGATGCTCAGGTGGCCTGCCCAGCGGGCACCCCCAGGGGCACTGGACTCCCCAGAAGGCGCGAGTTTGGCTTGGCCAGCGTCTCCCATCCCATAATCCTTCCACAGTCTCACTGACGGAGCACAAGGGAGGCCTCCGTGGCCCCTGCTCTGAGTCTCAGGGCAGAGGCCCTCCGTGCTGGGCTTCTCCATCCCTCAGAAAGTTCCTCGCACTGGAACCATGGGCAGGTGTCCACACTGCACCCCCAGTGACCCCCGATGAGTTTTCTATGCCCTCTGCGCAGGTCCACCAGGAGGAAGAGACCATCAGCCTCCAAGACACCTTCTCTGTGGTGGAACTGAAGCCCCGAGCAGCACCTGCTCCTCAGCCCAGCCCAGGTGGGTCTGCCAGCTCCTGGGAGTCCCGCCCCCTGGAAGTCCCGCCCCGGGGCTACCTGGCTCCCAGACCAGGTCGGGAGCACAGAGGGCAGCCTACCGGGCCTTCCTGCCCACTCTCCACTCCAGACTCCCTCTGCTGCCCAGACTAGGCCAGCCCACCCCTCCCACCCACGCTCTGGGCCCAGTCCTCACCTGGCCCAGCTCTGAGCTGCCCACTCCCTCCCAGCAGCTCCTCCACCCCTGGCTGCGGCCAGCCCTCCAGTCTGTCGCCTGGCCTCAGTCCTCCCCAGGCACGGACCCTCCACCTTCCAGGCCCTCTGGCCAAGCCTGACAGAGGTGGCTCTGGGGAGGCACACCAAGGGCACAGTACCCAGTCTTGGGGCACACGGAGCTGGGGGCCCCTAGGTGCAGAGTCACTCTAGAGCATCTGCCAGCCCCTAACCACCCTTCCCCCCACCGGCTACCTCAACCACCCATGGCCCCAGGCTTCCTGCCAATCAGCGGTGACACGGGGCTCGTGGCTGTGCCAGGGCCTGTGCCTCACCCGCCCTCCAGCGAAGGAGCCAGAGAGCTGCCTGAGGCCTTCAGCTCAGAAGCCACGCACTTTAAACCCGTCGTCCTCGTGCAAGACTCAGGTGTGGCCAGGTGAGCATGCCCACCCTGGCTGGTGGCACACAGCACGTGGGTGGCCCTCCTGAGCACTCTTCCTGTCCCCACAGGGACCAGCTTGCTGTGTCCTCAGGGCCAGCCAACCAGGCTGAGGAGAGGAGCATCCCGCTGGACACAGAGGGCAAGGGGAAGCAGGTAGCCCAGAACTTCTCGGGGGCCACCAGCCTGGAAACACCTTGCCACTCAGAGTCTGGTCCAGGGCCACAGGGAGCAGCCCCAGAGCCTGCTGGGGACCAGGAGAGCCCCTGCCAGTCAGGCCCTGACCCAACCAACCAGCCAGAGGCGGCCACATCAGCAGTGCCGGGGTCTCCGGGCCCTGCCCTGCCCCAGAAGGCGCTGGCACTGCCCCCCAACCCAGGGCCAGGTGGGCAGGCCCTGCCTGGAGCCACTCTGCCCCCGGGGCCCTCCTCAGCCAACCACAGCCCAGGTCATCCGTGCAAGCCACCCAGGAGCAAGGCCACAGAGCCGGAGGGTCCCCAGCCGGCGGCCCAGAGCCCCACCCTGGCTGCACTGAGTCCAGGCAGCCCCAGGGGCCCAGACAGACACCCCGAGAGGCCCCGGACAGCAGACCGCAAGACCTCTCTGTCCAGTGTGGATGCCTCATCCCCCTCCAGGAGGACGGCCTGCCCCTCACTGCAGGAAGCTATGCGCCTTATCCGCGAGGAGTTTGCCTTTGATGGCTACCTGGACAACGGGCTGGAGGCTCTGATCATGGGTAGGGGCCACAGGCCAAGAGCAGCCCCGGGACCAGGCAGAGTAGGCAGACACGGCCCCAGGGGGAGGCTGCAAGGGCAGCCTGGAGCCCCACTCACCAGCCCTACCAAGGGCCACCAGGGGCCAGGGACAGCACCTGGCAGCCTCGGGTGGGAGGCAGGTCTGGGGAGCCTACCCTGTGTCCCCCCACCCACACCCAGCCCTCTGCACCTCGAGACCACCTCCTCCAGGTGACTGGAGCCAGAGAACAAGAAGTGCCCAAGGTGCCCCGTTGTCCCCACAACCAGGGGAATATATTCACGCCTTGAAAGACCTCACCTTCGCCACCTTCTGTGGAGCCATATCTGAGAAGTTCTGTGACCTCTACTGGGACGAGCGGCTGCTGAAGAATCTCTTCCAGGTGGTCAACCAGCCAGCCTCACCCTCCGAGAGGTGGGTGTGCAGGCCAAGACCACCTTCCAGGCCCCGCCTCCAGGGTGACTGCACACAGGGCCACTGGCCACGGGGTGCTTGCCTGGGAACTCTGCTCCCTGGGGGGCAGGCCCACCCTAGCTCGTGGTTCTAGAAGGTGTTCTGACCTGTCCCTGAGTCCTGTCCAGCAAGCTTTGTGGGGCCAATGCCCCAGGAGGTGCAGGCTAGAGGTGAGAGGTCCCACCCTCCCCCAGGGTGTGCAGGTGAGGCTCCCTGCTGGGGGCCGGCTGCATGGCCCAAGACCATCCCAGAGGGCAGGGGTCTTGACCAGTTGTTCTGATTATCAGCACTTCCCAGGAACCGGGGTCTCAGCCCGAGAGCTCGTCAGGCAGCTGTTCAACCTTCGGCAAAAGGCCCTCGCTCCACGGACTGGGTAAGAGATACCGCCTGCAGCGCGGGGAACGGGTGCGCACTCTGCCAGCCAGCCCGGGCCCTTCGGCAGCAGGAAGGGCTTTGGGTGCACAGGACACCCAGGATCCTGGGGCTGAGGACTGTCAGTTAGGGGCCTTCCTCCTCCCTCTGCCAGCCACCAGCACCCACTGGCCTTTGCACCCCCCTAGAAACACTAGCCATTTAAACCCTCTGAGCTGGTTTCCCAGGTCAGCTGAAACCCGACTTTCCTAACCTGCTGAGGGAGCAGACGGGGGTGCTGACCACACCTGGCTGCAGTACGGCCTCCGTGGTAGCCTCATCCCTATTTAAGCAAACCAGGGAGCAGATGATAGGCCAGGCCTGAGGTCCATCTGCTCTTGATGGCCAGGGACCCAGGAAGCCACCAGCACAGACAGAAGCTTCAGAACCCAGGGCCTGAGGGTTGTCGGGAAGGGACAGAGTGGGGTTGGAGTCTGAATGTTCCAGAGAGGATGGGCTGCAGGGACAGAGGGACCTGGTCCCACAAGAAGTCTGGAAACAGTGCAGATGCCTGCAGGAGGCCTGTGGGAGGGCCCCTCACCTGGACCAGGAAGCTGGCTTCCTCAGCCTCCGGCCCTGTCCCAGGATTGCCTGGCTGGGGCCTCCCCCAAGGGCATCCAGCCTCCCCCACACTCCCTGGTGGCGAGTCCCCTTTCACTGGGACACATGACCTGCACCTCCTTCCTGACCCTCGTCTCTTTCTCTCAAGGCAAAGAGAAGGTGGTGGCAGCCCGGGGCAGCGGGGGCCCCTGCTCGCCCACCGCGCAGTCGGACAGAGACTCTGACATACTCTCACAAGGAAACTTTGAGGTGGGATTTCGGCCTCAGAAATCAATAAAAGCTGCTCGAGAAGGGCAGCCTGAGGTGAACGGGCAGCAAGTCCCCGGCCCAGAGCCTGCCAGCAGGGCCTCAGACATGGACACGGTGGCCCGGCTGGCCAGGCCCAAGGAGCGTGGCCCTGCTGGGTCTCTGGGCCCAGCAGAGTTCCGTAGCTGCAGCCCTGGCTGGTCCAGCGCCTTCTACGAAGCCGACTGCTTCGGGGCCGATGTCCACAACTACGTGAAGGGTCTGGGCATGCGGAAGGCCAGCGGGCACCCAGAGCCTGAAGCCGAGAGCCCTGTGAGTCCAGGGCATCTGCCCACTGGGGGTGGGATCACTGTAGGCAGAGGGCCTTGCTCAGGCAGAGCTTTAGGTCACCCTGAGGGTTAATGATGACATACATCCTGAACCCCGTGGCCCACTCCGGGGTCCTGTGGGGACGGTGAGGCGGGCAATAGCTTTCCTCTCCGGGTACCGGTTCACCCATCCTGGCCACCATGGTACGGCTTGGGTCACCTCCCACTGGGACGGGCAGGTGCAGCCTCTTCCTCCTTATCTGGTCCCTTGCCTTGAGCAGCGCCATTCGGAGATGACGGCAAGCACCCGAGTTCGCAGCGAGTCCTGGCTGGACCCGGGGTCAGTGTGGTCTGGCATGGGCTCATCTGTGGGCAGCACCATCCAGGTCAGGGGCAACCCAGGCTCTTTGTTGCGGGTCACAGGGCACAAGCAGGCTGTGGCTTGAGCAGCTGGGCCTGGCCAGCACCATGTGCAGGAGAGCTCTGGGTGGAGGGCTGCTGTCCCTGCTCTCGGGGCCCAACAGTGACCAGGAGCCCCCTGCAGGGCAGCAGTTACACAGGTCCAGGCCATGGGGTCTGACAAGAGGAAGCCCCTCAGCAGATGGGCTCCTGGCACCTCCCCTGCCCACTTCATCCACACCTCTGGCCCCGCCCATGCACAGGGCAGTATCTCTCAGCCCTTACGTGTGCCTTGGGACCCCACAAGAGGGGCGCTCTGCACAGACATCCACGGACTAGCAGGGCCCAGACACCGGGCCTAGCAGGGGAGCCCACAGCACCCCTCACCTCTCGGACCAGGCACTCAGCGTCACGAGGCTCAGCCCTGAACAAGACCAAGGTGCCTGGCACCTCCCGGGCCCCAGAATGTCCCTGAGCCTCGCTCCTTCAACTCTGTGGGGCCTCCTCCTGCTTCCCGTCTTCCTGCCGCTCCTGGAGCACGGCCCCCCCACCCCCAGCCCCACCTTTCCAGGTGGCAGAAAGTGCCCGCAGGGTCACTGGCCTGTCGTCCATCAGCACAAGAAACAGACCAGGAGGGGTAAGGCACTAGCACAGGTGGCAAGAGACCAGGCTCAGCACCCTCAGGACATGCACCAGACCAGAGGTCAGGCCTCCACCGGTGGCAACCTGAGTAGCACTGCCCTGCAGCTGTGTGCTGGGCAGCCCTGACTGGGCCGCTCCAACGCTCAGACCATGAGAGAGCCCAGGTACCGGGGTGTGTATTGCGAGGCAGTTCCAGAAGGGGCCTGGGCTCTATCCCCAGAAAAGACCTTGAAGACACGCTAAGGCCAGCTCCTGCTGACTTGGCTGTGGTCCCACAGCTGGGTCCAGGTTCCTTAAGCACTGACCGTCCTCAGCCAGTTGAGGGCACAGGTGGCCAGGCCTGATGTCACTGCTGTGGCTCCTGCTCAGCATGGCTCTACAGGGGTTCCTCTGAGGAGGGTGGCTGCCCTTGGGGCACAGGGGACAAGGAGTGGCCTGCTCCCTGGGGGCATGTCGGGTGAGTTTCCTGTGTCCTGGTCTGCGTGGTGGGTGGCTTAGGTGAGACGTCACAGTGGTTGTGCCTGTGAGAAACCACTGTCTGCCTCAAGCAAGGAGGGCATCACAGTTTGTGGGCAGACTTCACATTGCGACCCAAAGAGCAAGAGCCTGCACAGGCAGCCCCTTCACCCCGGTGGGGAGGGGAGGGGGCATCGACCACCGACAGCACGAACAAACAGCCCCTGAGCACCCGCCGGCCACAGGCGGGAATACATGCTGCAGTGTCAGCAGCCGCGGTGCCGCACCCCACACCCCGTGTCCTAGCCTGGGCACCGGGTTTTGCTTCTGCTGTGGAAATGGACTTTGCTTTCTGTGTTTGGGGATTGGCAGTGGCTTCAGTTCATCCCTCTTTTCTTCCTTTTTTTGTAATTTCCGGGTTTTCTAACCTCTGATTGTTGCTTTCTTTGTCTACCTTGGGGTCCATTAGCCATTTGGCCAATTAAATCCAGTAGCCATGGTGCCTAAATTGCACCTCAGATCACACACACGTACTTCTGTAATAAACCAGTGCTCTTCTGATTCCCCAAGAGCTCTTGGTCAGGATAGGGGCAAAGCCTGCCTCACTGTCCTTGCAACTGGGCCTGACCAACCACCTGGGCCTCGGGCCACGCTGTTCTGTGCATCAGCCACGGTGTGGACCTCATAGGGAGGCCAGCTCTTGTGTCTTCCTCTCCAGCTTGTGTGAAGATTACGTCATGTACATCTATCTAAAGTCTGCACCTGTCTGCGGGCTGCGCGGTGCTGCTCACGTTGGGAGCGGCCTCGGTGGCAGCACGTCGGCACAGTCTGTGTTCTAGCAGGCGCCAGGCACGTGCTGCCTCACAGGGAACCACCTCCAGGTTCCCCAGTCCTGGGCACCCACAAACCCCCCCAAGGACTTGTCAACATCAGCACCTCCACTGCAGACAAGAGACGACAGGGCAGACAGAACCCGGTACAGGGTGACTCCAGGGACAGACAGGAGCCGCCCAGCCCTGGGGCCATGGCCCCTCTCCTCAGAGGCCAGGATCCAGCCAGCAGACAGCTGGATGCAGCCTGTGCACACAGCTCGGGAGGCTGCAGTCACCAGCCTCCACCTATGAGGTGCCCGGTCTTCCCCAGGGCAGGCTGCCCAGGGAGCCACCACATGAATGCTGCCCGTGTGGCTAAGGAACTGGCACTTCAGTTTTATTTCATGGTAATAATCTAGACAGCCTCATGTGGCTCCAAGTGGGAGGCCCAGCTGTGGGCACGCAGCCATGGCACAGGCTGGGACCCGTCCTGCTCCCCACCACAAAAGAGAGCTGGTTCAGACCGCCATCGAGGGGAGGCGGACTGGACGCCTGGCCATGGGATGTCAGACCCAGGCTCTCCTCCACCCCTGGAAGGTGACGCTCAGCAGCTCTGGGGCAGCGCCAGCAAAGGCCCTTGCATGGGGTCCCCCCGGTGTTCTCCAGTACATTTCCATGGAGACAGACCCTGCCCGGAGTGTGCCTCGGCCCAGCTGTGGCAGGACCAGAGGTCTTGGCACCCCCTGGCTTGACAGCAAGACTCGGGTTCTGCTGGGTCTGGACCCCTCTACAGCTGCCTGGGCCTGGCCACGTTGACCATCGTGGAGCTGCCCACTGGCCCACACCCCATTCCCTCGGGGGACAACCCAGGCTCAGTCCCAGCCCAGCCCATCCAGCTGGGCCCAAGGCCCCTGGGTGCAATTAGGGAGGCCATGTCTCAGGCCCTGGGACAGAGGGGACATAGTACCTGGAGGGGGGCTGCCTGCCAGGCGACAGAGGTGTCCTGGGGGAGTAAGCATCCTCCTCCTGAATGTCAAATGAACCCTCGAAACATCTTATCCAGCCAGGCACCATGACCTACTCCTGTAATCCCAGCAGCTCAGGAGGCTGAGGCAGGAGGATCACTAATTCAAAGTCAGCCTTAGCAACTCAGCAAGACCCTAAGCAACTTAGTGAGACCCTGTCTCAAAACAAAAATTAAAATGGCCGTGGATGTGGCTCAGTGGTTAAGTGCCCCTGGGTTCAATCCCTGGTACAAAAACCCACCTCATCCCAGGAATAACTCAGACCCACTGGTATAGGGTGCCTCGAGCAAAGCCCAGGGCAGGGGGGTCTGGCCCAAGTCCTGCTGCCCTCATGGAGGTGGACTGATGCCTGCAAGGACTGATCACCCTGACTCGGGTGAGCCCTGCTGTCTTCTGGGGCAGGAACCTGGATTCCAGACAGGTTCAGGAGAAACACTCAGAGGCACACGTGTTCATCTGAGAGGCCACTAAGGAAGAGGGGACAAGATCTCAGGAGGAGTGGACATGTCCCAAACAGGGCCCCTGGTGGGGGGAGGGCAGACCAGAGCTCGCGGACGCGGTGCCCCTTGGGGTGACAGTCACTGTAAGGTGACACACCACTGGCTGCCCTGTTTCAGTGTTCCTCCGTCCCTTCTCCTCAGCTGACAGGACAGCTTTATCAGCCCTCTGGGCATGTCCCCCTGGCCTTGGCCTCATGTGACAGCCGGAGGTGGCTCCGGCTACAGTTGCCCCCGGCTGGCCCTCGGGCTGACGCTCTGTGCTTCCTCTTAGGAGCTGGAGCAGCAGCTCCTGATAGAGAAGAGAAACTACCGGAAGACCCTGAAGTTCTACCAGAAGCTCTTGCAGAAGGAAAAGCGCAACAAAGGTAAGCCCAACGCGACAGACAGGCCAGCCCGGGCCTGGGGGCCACCGGTGCCGACCCGCTCTGCCCCGCAGGCTCCGAGGTGAAAACCATGTTGTCCAAGCTGCGAGGGCAGCTGGAGGAGATGAAGGCCAAGGTGCAGTTCCTCAGCCTGGTCAAGAAGTACCTGCAGGCAAGGCCCTTCCCCTGCGCAGCACAGGGCACCCAGGTTCCCTCCCGGGGGACGGAGGCAGGGTGAGCGCGTGCCCGCCGTGACGGTGACTCGGCCCCCTCCAGGTCATGTACGCAGAGCGCTGGGGCCTGGAGCCCTGCGCCCTGCCGGTGATCGTGAACATCGCGGCAGCCCCCTGCGACACCCTGGACTTCAGCCCCCTGGACGAGTCCTCCTCCCTCATCTTCTACAACGTCAACAAGCCCCCGTGTGGGGGCCGGCAGCAGAAGGCCCGCATCCTGCAGGCGGGCACACCACTGGGGCTCATGGCCTACCTCTACTCCAGGTGCGCACAGGTGCCCGGGGAGGTGCCTGCCGACCCTTGGGCACGAGGTTGAGAGCAGGAGCGGGAAGAGCTTATTCAGGAAAAGGAAATCGGCCCCAGAAGAGGCAGGGAAAGCCCCATCTAAGCCGAGTCGCTCTTTAATTTAGGAAAACGTTTGCTCATTTGACCTGTGTTCACTGTCACTGCTGTGCCAAGTAGCCTCGGCCGTTTCTGCAGATGCCCCGGCATCGGGTCTCAGGGGGCACCCAGGAGGTTGTCCTGGGAGAGTGGAGAAGAGGCTGCATGATTAGCACGCCATCGGGCACGAATGCTCACAGGAGCCTGGTACGGCCCGGAGGGGTTGACACGCCCTCTGCCGTAACCCCTGGAGCTCAGCCCCCAGTGTGCATTGCTGCACCCCAGCCTCTGGTGTGAGCTCTGTTTGGCTGTCAGATGCCCTGAGTGACCACCAGGAAGCAAGGGAAGAGCCCCGGAACCCACTCCCTCTGCCAGGGCTGCAGAGCCATCTGTGGCTAGGTGCCCACCTCTCCCACACACCAGCCCCATGCCCTCTGGCCTGGCAGTGTCACCATGCTCCCCGGCACCAGGCCTCCCACAGGCTCTCTTCCCCCAATGGCACTACCCACACTAGACGTGGGGGCAGATGGATCACCTGGGCTTTCCCAGATGACAGGGCTCCTCCCAGGCTCCACACCATTGCATCCTCTGGCTAAGGGGCTGTGGCCACCCCAGACCTGATCATTGTGTCAGCAGGGCCCAGAGGACAGTCAAGGAGCAGGACTCCCTCTGGAGACCCAGGCCTCCTGGCACAGCTGCCTCCTTCCCACCAGCCCTGTCTCCCAGGAGCACTCGCCCAGTCATGCTGGGGCCTCCTGCCTGCTGGGACTCCAGGCTGACCCTCAGCTCAGCCTCCCCTTGCCTGCAGGAGGTGCAGTCGTGCCCACCATGGGGCCTGCTGCCAGCTTCAGGGGTGTGCTGTGCTCCAAGTGTGTACAGAGCGATGTGCGTTCATGGGCGTGTGCTGTGTCTGTGATGTATGGTGTGGTGCATGTGATGTGTGATGTGTACTATCTCGTGTGGTATGGGGGGCCTGATGTGGTATGGTGGTACATGTGTGCATGTGGATGATGTGTTGGGTAACGTGGGTACTGTGTGACTGTGCATGAGTTACGTGCAAGCATGCACACACACAGTGCGCCCTGGGGTGCTGTGTGGTGTAGTCGTGATGTGTGGCATGCATGCTTGGTGTACACGCAAGGGTGTGGTGCGTGCGGGAGCTCAGCACGGTAGTGGGCATCACCTCTGCAGGGCCAGCTGAGCCTGCAGCTGTCTAGTTCCCCCCTGGGCTGTGGCCATGAGGGTCCTCGTCCCCTAGGGGTCCCCTATGGTGGACACAATGTCCCAGCCCTGGACTCCTCCCTGGACCTGGGCAGCACCCGGTCAGCCCTCCCCCGCCCCCAGCCCACCTGTGGGGCTCCAGCCAGTGCCCCAGCTGGGACACCCCGTGAGGACGCTGAGCACAGTGCTCCGTCCAGGAGCGGCTCCCTGGGCACCCGAGTGCAGCCCTCGGAGGCCCGCGGAGTCGGGACGGGCGCCTGGTGCTGCACCTCAGGAAGGCTGGGGACTTCAGGGACATAGGACCCCAAGGGGCCTCTGAGCTGCCTAGAGCTCCCCCACCCACACCCAGGAGCACACAGAGGTTCTCCTTCTCAGGCCACAGCCACACAGCCACACTCCCTCACACTCACGCTCGCCCAGGGCCCCCATCGCCAGCACAGGTGAGTCCAGGTGAGGCCCAGGCTCCAGGCAGCGGCTCTCTCCCCAGCGATGCCTTCCTGGAGGGCTACGTCCAGCAGTTCCTGTACACCTTCCGGTACTTCTGCACACCACAGGACTTCCTGCACTTCCTCCTGGACCGCATCAGCAGCACCCTGTCCAGGTACCACCAAGGGGGACAGGCTGGCGAGAGGGCCCTGTGAAGGGCAAGGTGGCCCCAGGTGACCCCAAGAGGGACGAGGCCCAGGAGAGCCTCACCAGGGAAGGTCGAGGCTGGGATGCAGAGCAGCAGGGCGCAGGGCAGTGGCCAGCGCATCTGGGTGCCCTGGGAGGCAGCCCGGTTGGCCAGGGCTGGCCCCTCCCTGCTGGCCCAGGGGAGAGCCAAGCCCACCCCCAGCAGAGGACAGCCCAGCCGGGGTAGAGGCCTGCTGGCCTCAGCCTCCCTCTCCAGGGCAGCAGGGCCAGTGACGGGCTGGAGAGGGGCAGTGGGCTATGGGGAAAGCTCTGGCCTGGTCTCTGGCCGGTCATCACCCCATGCACCCCACATGCCCCTCACCCACACAAGCTGGGTGCCCCACCACAGGCATCCTGTCTCCCCCCAGGGCCCACGAGGACCCCACCTCGACCTTCAACAAGATCTACAGGCGGAGCCTCTGCGTGCTGCAGGCCTGGGTGGAGGACTGCTACACCGTGGACTTCACCAGGAACGCAGGGCTGCTAGGGCGGCTCGAGGACTTCATCTCCTCTCAGGTGGCCACTGCCCCTCTGGCCAGCCAGCACTCCAGGCTGCACAGAGGGGGGCGCTGCCCTGACCCCACCCCTGCCACGCTTCTGCCTAGATCCTGCCCCTGGACGGTTCAGCTAAGCACCTGCTGGGCCTCCTGGAAGTGGGCACTGACCGGCGGGCTGATGGTTCCCCTCGCAGCACAGACCTAGAGGATCCCAAGGAGGCTGAGGAGGACACCAGACCCTTCAATGCCCTCTGCAAGAGGTTCTCAGAGGACGGCATCTCCCGGAAGGTGGGGGCACTTCCCAGGGAAGGGCTTCCCTGAGACCCACCTGGAGGACATGGTGTGCAAGTGCTCACGTGCACATGCATAGACATCCAGAGAATGCACGCATGTGCACACACGACCTGGAAGGCAGTGTGCACATACAGGAACACACTTGCATACACAGATCTGCACGTGCATGCAGGTGTGTATATGTGCGCACTGTGCGCATGGACCTGCACTCACATGGGTGTGTACACGTGTGCACACACATGCTCTCCATGCACATTCCTCTTTGGGGCTTGTCCCTTGCCCTGGGCAAGGGCAATGGAGGGGCCCAGCACGCACTCCCATGAGGTGGGTCCTACTGTGCCTCGCCAAGGCCTCTCTGACCTTTGGGTGGGAGGCCTGGGTGTAAGAACCCAGGACAGTGGTCTTTGTTCTAAGAGTGGGTGGGAGGGATTTGCTTTCTGACTCTGGCTGAGCCGCTCTGAAGAGCCCTGGGCAGGACCCTGCCTGTCCTCACCCCGCTCCCCCCACCTGGCCCGCCTGACCTGGAGGGGACCTGGCTTGCCCACAGAGCTTCTCCTGGAGACTGACCCGGGGCAACGGGCTGACCCTGCCGCACCACAGGGAGCGCCAGTACACCATTGCGTCCGCCTTGCCCAAGCCCTGCTTCTTCGAGGACTTCTACGGCCCCTACACCAAGGCTAGCGGGAAGGGGTCCTACTTCCTGACAGAGTACAGCACGCACCAGCTCTTCACTCAGCTGACGCTGCTGCAACAGGTGCGTGGGGGCTGCGGGCACCGGGAGGGGGCAGAGGACCCATACTGGGCTGGCCACAGGCAGCAAGGGGCAAGCCAGGGACAATCTGGCATCATGGGCCTCAGCAGACACTTCCTGAGCCACAGACGGGACAGTCGAAGAGGGACCTGGCTGCCAGGAACGCAGGTCCCCAGGAGCAGCTTCCAAGAGTGGGGAGGCTGGAGTCAGGGACAGAACTGGTCTCCGCCAAGCTGGACGCTCCTCTCCAGCTGCTCAGGGCACACAGATGGCACACAGGTCACCACATACTGGCCACCACACTCCAGAGCCCCGGAGCCCCTCCATGACCCCCTGCTGTCCTAGGATACCACACCATAAGGCAGGTGACAGAAATGCCAAGAAATCCTACCACTGTCAGGGTTGGCCATGTCACCGGCCCCAAGGACTGAGCTCGGGAGCTTGTTGGTCAAGCTCATGGCCCATTGGCCCATTGCATAGGTCACCCGATACTCCAAGAGACGACACCAAATATCCAGCCCTCCTTGGGACACTGCCGTGGTTTCCAGGCCCTTGGGGACAGTGGCCTGACCATCTGCTTCTATGTCCCGGCAGGAACTGTTTCAAAAGTGCCACCCCGTCCACTTCCTGAACTCACGGGCCCTGGGGGTCATGGACACAAGTGGAACCATCCCCAAGTGAGTGGTCCAGGAGTCCCAGGCCCAGAGCGCTGGTGGAGGGTTAGGGCCTCCCCCAAGTGCCTCCTGGCTGCAGAGGCTCCGCGCCCCGGGGCCGGGCAGGCCACCTGCCCCCTCCCCAGGTGAAGTGCTGCGTGTTCTCCCCAGAGCCAACTCTTCCGAGTCTCTGTCTGCCCAAACCTGCAGCCTGTTTCTGCCCAGTTACGTCCAGGACAAGTACCTGCTTCAGCTTTTACGGAACGCAGACGACGTCAGCACCTGGGTGGCTGCTGAGATCATGACCAGCCACACCTCCAAGGTAGGCGCCTCCTGGCCAGGTCAGAGAGGCGTGCACCACGGCGTCGGCCCACAGCCGGCCCCTTCTCCAGGGGCAGGGAGCCCACACTCCTGTCCCTCACAGCAACACTCAACCCCAGTCAAAGGGAAAGAGCAGACCACAGTGGCCACTGACGCGGGCCCAGACGGGCATGGCCGCCACATTACCAGGCCGACCCTCCCTCCTCTGCAGAAGCTCCCGCGCTGTGGACTACAGGACGCCAGGACCTGTGGGCCCTGCCCAGAAACACCGGTCGTGCTAGTGCTCACACTCACATCCCTCTCACACAAGGTCCTTTACACACAGACCCGCAGACACATACAGCCCTGCGACAGGGCCCTCTTACACACTCACACAGCCCCTCCAACAGGGCCTTCTGACACACACACACACACACACACACACACACACACGGCCCCACCAACAGGACCCTCTTAGACACATTCTCTCTCTTACACACACGGCCCCTGCAACAGGACCCTCTTACACACTC